GACATCTCGGGAATTTGTAAATACAAAGTTTGAATACAGGGGTTTATTTATCAGTAGTTTTATCAGTTATAGTAATACATAGTAAAAATATTGGAAAAATAATTAAAAACTGGATGAATAAAAAGTTTTAATGCATAGTTGGTTTTATTTTGAAAAAAGTAAAAAACATTTGTTATGAAAGTCGGGTGATTTCAATGATTTCATTGAGTTATCACGTAAAATGTGATTTTTTCAGCTTTGGAAGCATTTGGAGAACAAGCATAGGATAATAACTTGGCATTCGCATTTTTTTACGATTGCGTTGGTTGAAAATAACAATTTTAAGACCGCTCCGTCACTTCTTGTTAAAAAATAAATTTTCATCCATAGTTCTGAAATTTCTTCAAAAATGTTCAAATTTGACGTTTTCGTACACATCATGATCCGCAGATACCAAAAATGCGAAAAAATTATTGGGATGCCATTCAAAATTACGGAGTTAGGACCATTTCCGGTCAAACCGGAAGTTACTAAACATTGACACACATGTCAAAAGATGACATTGCTCAAACCTACACTCCATACCAAAAATCTTTGCCATCGAAAAAAAAACCAGCAAATGCTAGCGCGAAACTGATCCCGTAGACACCCGGTATATAACCTCTGAGCCATTTTCACTACGTACAAAATCTTTTGCATTTTTACACCACACAAATTGGTAACCTTTGTCTTTTAGTTTGCGAGGGTTGTCGAACAGCTGCCTTGCATCCCTCGGCAAATCTCATTCACAAATATCTTCCTCTCAGAGTCTCCAATATTGCATTCCTTCACTGTTATTGTGCCTTTTTTTTTCCTTGCCTCCATTACCATATTTCTTGTATTTTCACTCTCAATGCTAACCAGAACATGCGTTTCGTTGTTTTTTGACTGAAGAATCCTGGTTTTCATAATCTCTTGAGGAGGAATGTTCACTTGAAGTGCTGTAAATAATTTCTGAACATTCTCCTTACATTTCTCTTTGGTAGTTGGTACACCAAATAGTACTATAGTCCGACAAATACCATTTTAAAGTCACGTGATACTGGTGGCAAAAAACGTATGTCCATTGATTATGTCGTTGATATCACCTACAAAATGCTACTGGTGATTAATTACTACTGAATTTTAGGATATGTTCCCACTAGCATTTTACAAACGCGTTTCTGAAGTAGTATTAACCAATCAGAGGGCAATTTTAATACTTGCAATTGTTGCGAGACTCACTTTTGTCGTATCTGCTGTCTGTTGTAATACATTCTCAACTTAAACTGGGTACCCGTTTTCTATTTGCTTCTTTTCGAGTTGGACAAAGGTTAATACAGTCAAAATTATTAGCTGTGTTTGTTCGTTGTATTATTTTCGAAAATAACTTTGACAAACTAATTGATGACAGTGACGGATTCTATTTCAGGTAAGAATATTATGAAGAATAATTAGACAGCAATTTTTTTGTCAATTTTATTATCACCACTGTTTGAGATGTATTCAACAAGGATAGAGAAAAATCACGTGACTTTAAAATGGTATTTGTTTGGACTATATATTCTTTTTTTTTCCTCTCTCTCTTCAAAAGCCACCCTTTCGCTATATTTCGTCACTTCCACCTCTAGGTTTTATATGCGCTGCTCCATTGCATTCTTATCTTCCCTTAGCTTCAAACTCGATTTTCTCAAAAACCCTAGAGGCTAGCGATTTCAGCTTAATACGATTTTGTACATAATCCTTATCCAGAGCTAAAATTGTTAAAAAATTTACATCAGTACGGCTTTTTGTTAGCAAGATAATGAGGTTCGAATATTTGCAAATGAGAATTCAAAAGTGCGAAAAATCTAAAATTTGTATTTTCCAATTTTGGAAAATTCCGTTTTTTTTTTATCCATATTATAAAGTGAGTCCAAAATAATCAGAAACGGCTTTAACAATTTGAATATGAAAATCTACTTAAATGAAAATCCATTTTCTGAAATTTTATGATTTCAGACACGATATTTTGGGAATTGCTTCAAACGCATAAGTCCGGAATTTAAGAAATTACTTTAGGTAAATGCTTTAAAAGTCTACCCATTCTGAATGGATTTTGATCGAAAAAAGCGAAAAATTGCAGAAAATATTGTTGAAATGCAATTCAATTTTTGTACAGTATTTTCTTTGATATTTCAATCTAAAAAGACACAAATGAAGCACTTTTAGAACAAATTTAGAAGATATTGTGGTTTTTGATGTGATTTTGAACCAAAAATACGTTTGTATGAATCAATTTTTATATTTCTGGCAAATCTAAGAAAAATTCATATGTGATGTCTGACATTGAAGGTTGTGTTGGCTTGGACAATCTTGAAAATGTTTGTTTCAACTGCAAAATAGTGTTCGATTATTTGAAATGTGTAATATCTTGGGGAATGCGAAAAGATCGATATGCGAGGTTTTCACATGGTAAAAAGTCCACTTAGAAATATCCATGTGATCAGTTGCCAAATGAGGTTATAACAAAGGTAAACAAACAGTATGAAAAAATCTAGAAAAAGGAGCCGAACGGAAGATAGTTATTTGGATCAAAGTGTTGTTATTGAAATTCATGAAACATTGAAGTATTGGGTGAATACCACAAAGGAATTGCAGGAAAAAATCGATTTATTGGCAGAAAATATTAACCTAAAAAAAGAAATATCGTCTAAAGGGAGTTATGACAGCCCCTCCTGCTGTTTTGCCCGCATCATCAGCATCTAACTTAACCTATTCAGCTGTAACCAAAGAAAAACAAGACAACAAAATATTGGTAGTTAAACAAAAACAGGGTTCTTCTCAAAAGGACGTAAAACAAATAAAGGATGATTCACGTACTAAGGTGATTCCAAGTGATATTGGAGCTCAATCTAAGTTGTGAGAACAGAACGAAAAATCAGTTGAAAGTGTACTACAATCAGAAATTCACCATCAGATTAAACTTGGTGATAATTATAATATTGATAGGCCGAAATTATTGGAAAAACGTATCAAAGTTATTGGAATTAATTAATGTGAATTCAGCAACAGTGAAGAGGAAATTGTATCGAAAGTGGTGAACCAAAACGACCTGGACCCGAATACAAAGGTAAAAATAAGATACAAATCAAACGTTCATAATAGTAGATTCAATATTGTGTTTGAAGTTGACTCCAATACTTACAATATACTAATAGAAAAACAGAGAATGAATATTGGGGTGGAATCGGTGCTGAGTACATGATGATCATTAGATGCTTTAAATGTTATCATTATGGTTATCAAGTGAAGGAATGCAAAGAAAAGAAAGTATGCCCTAAATGTAGTAATGAAGATGATTACTTATAAGAATTGTTCCAGTGATATTGTTAAATTCTCCAGTTGTGAATTATCAAATAGGAAATATGGTCTAAACATGAATATTGTCTGTCTGGATATGTGAATAAGTGTGAAATCTGCCAAAGAATGGAGCGACTTCGTATAAAAACAATATTACTCTTTTGGTTACAGATTGGAAACCAAGATTACTGTTCTTATCAGAAACCCATGTGAGTAAAAATTTTGATCCGATAGAACTGAAGATTGATGGATATAATTTGGAACAATGTGTAACATAACCAACTGATTAACTGGGGGAGTCATGGCCCCAATAAGAACTGACGTTAAATATAAAATGAAAATGGTGCAGTGTGTCCAGAACAACACCAAGAACTACCTACCATTCCCCTAGAGAGGTTGTATTTGACGGCTTAATTTTGGTGAATGAAATGAAAATTGCCACTGAATTCAATACATTTTTGATCAGTAGTATTTCTGAACTTATTGGACAATCTTCAAAAACCAGGGGGGTGCGAATTCTGCTATCACACATCAACATAACATTACGGATGGTGCCTTTACTCAGTTTCAGAGAATATCTATGAACAAATTGAAAGAAATCCTGAGAGGCATGAAAACAGTTAAAGGTGGTGATAGCGGCATTTGCAAACAAGTGCTGAGCGATGCTTGCTATGTCATCGGTGATCGAATTCTTAACACGATTAATGCCTCTCTATCAAGTGGTGTATTTCCTGAGTAATGGAAGGAGTCAATGGTCATTCCAGTCCCCAAGGTAGGTAAACAATACAAAATAGCATATAGAGTTTAGACCTATAAACACTGTACCTGTATATGAAAAACTTCTGGAAATGGAAGTGAGGCAGCAGCTCAAACAACACTGTGATAGAAACCAGATCAAATAAAACACTTTTGTGAGACTGCTATTGTGAACATCTGTGATGTTCAAATTTCCAGGCTCATTCTGACTATGTTATGAGAAAATTTTCCAGAAAGGTTGATTTTCTTTCAAGGGTAGGAAATGGTTTGTCAATTGGCACAAGGATGTTATTGTATAATATCATTGCTTTACCTCATTCACAGTTTTGTTCCACACTTTTGTATGCATTGCCAGATTTCAAGGTGAGGCATATCCAAAAAATACAGAACAATCGATATACACCTATCAAGGTTATGCATGATGTTTTGAATGTGTTTTCTGTAAGACAAAAGATTATTTTTAATGTGTATGTATTTGTATTTAAGATTAAGAGAGGGTTACTATCAAATTACTCTATGACTGTGATAGAGTAACTGTTTTGTAGAGATGTACATGAATATAGTACTAGGAATTGTGGTGATTATCTTTTGCTGCAAAGATGCAATACTGATTCGCAATTATTGTTGAATTCTTTACTTAGTAAAGGCTTGCATGAATTTAATCAATTACCCAATAATATCAAAAATTGTGATAATATCAATCAATTTAAAGTTTTAGTAAAGTCATATATTGTTTTTAATTTTTTAATTGGATACCTATGAATTTTGTGAAGATTTTGTTATTCTATTTTTTGTATTGTATATGTAGCTTATGGTAAATAAACAATTCATTTATTTAATCGTCCCTAAACATTACAATAGATTGTTTAAAAAAGTAATTCGAAAACCGTGAAACAAACCCTTACCATTCACAACCAAAATAATCGTATAATACTTCCTGGAAGCAGTAGCAAAATTCGTCGACATAAGATAAACGCTGGATTGAAAGTATACATTATCCCTGTGACAGCTTCCCAAATGCTCTTGCACATTTTCCATGGTTCCCATCCAGGTACACTGATGGCTTTCTCCTAGAGGACATTTCAAAGGGTAATATTTACATACGTGCTCGTGCACTATCGTATACGAAGAGGTCGCTCTGAAGCAACACCCGTCCCATTTGCAGGGAAAACTTAACAACGGATGGATTTTTTCGAGGGTGAATGCACGAGATAATGTCTTGGGAGCCCTAGAAAATAATCATGTTTTTTTTTGTACAAAATTTACATTACTACAATTACCTGCATGTTGGACAACTGATACATCTCTTCCAACAATCCAGACAAATAATATGGCTGTTGCTACACATCATGATAGGTGGCGAGGCGTAATTGATGCAGACTGGACATTCGTATTCTTTTAATATTACTCTTTCCAGTTTGTGGTCTTTTTCGGTTATTGGATAGGCAGCCTATAAATCACACCAATGCATTATAACAGATACAATTTTATTAGTATAAGCTTAGCTACCTTATGGCAAATTTTCAATCTCCTTGGTGAATCAAAGATGTGGTGCAAAGAGTTGTCCATTTACGATTTTTGGTTTCGGAAATTTCAAGAGTTTTAAGTAATAATGTTTCTGCAAAAAAAGCTACTGTTATGATTTAGTGATTTTTTTTCTAGTTCTAGAACACAAACTAAGTATATTGATACTATTTTTGGGAGCATTAGAGTATTATTTATCCTATCCTAGGAATTCCACTATTCAGAAACATCTTGTATAGAAATTTTTAGAATGTCCTGTATTTGATACCTTTGTTACCTTTATTATTTATCAACCTTGACAGTGTTTCAATGTAAGTTATATGCTCTAGTAAGATTCTGAGCTTATTAAAACCTGTATTCTGGAGGTTTTCTCCAACTTTAATTCAATAAACTCAATAACTAAATGGATAAATTACTCAAACCAGGAAGATTGGAAATAGACATCAACTCCAACAATGCCGCTCATCAATGGATTCATTGAAATCGAACTTTTAGGAACTTTTTGGAAGCTGCCAAAGTGGAAACAGATAAAGATAAACTTAATTGAATTATCAAATTTGATGTTGATTAAATAGAATTTACACTACTAGTAGACACTTAATTTGCTTTTTTTTTAAGTTTTCGAGCATTTTTCATGCAAAATTTCCATTGTCTTTATCTTCACACTCGGCAAGCCCACCAGCAAAAAAATTAATTGCTTCCATTCAAATTTAAATTAGAGTCGCTCTTTCATGCAAAAATCCTTTTTCTCTATATAAATGCAAAATTTAATAATAATATATTATTTTCGGGGAGCGCTTTTGCTTATCGGACTAAAAACGCCGGGCATCTGATGCCCGTCAAGCTGAGCTATCATTTGTTTAGCTTGCAAAATTAAATTCTGTTTATTTGCCTTTTCCGAGTAAAATGGATTTGGTCGATGAGGGAAACCCCCCAAAAAAAATAACGCTGATTTTTGTCGCCTCCGAAGTAGGTTTGATAATAATTTTATTTGAAAACGAGGACGAAAGATACAAATTATATTTTCGATTCAGAAACTTGTATTTCTAAAAAACATTTATTTTATTAATTAAAATACAATAGTGACAAACGAAAATATGTGGATCAAATTGCTATAGCGAATGCCTGAAAACAAATGAACGCTCCTTACGGGACTGCGCTGGCTTAAATAAGAAATATCTGCTGATATCAGCATTTGCGTTGGCGGAATGGTGGTACTACCAGTGCAGTACCGCTGATTAAGCAGTTTTACATTATTATAAGTTTTGACATAGGCGTACGTTTATAATTATTATCATAGGAAAGGAGAATTATTAGTATAAAGATAACATAGGTTCTTACAAAATAACTTACAGAGGATGATTTGTGTGTGTCTGATTTTCCTGACTGATTACGGTCGTGAATTTTCAACTTGCTTTCATTTGATTACCTACCCTTTTGTGAAAAATGCAAATGAATATTGGAGAAATTGCCTTATTACTATTCTTGAAGCTTCACAAGAAGGAGTCACATCCATAAAGAAAAATATAGAAGCAAAACCTTCATCTTCCAAATTTTCTATATACTTCTGCAAACTAGCAACTGATTGAATTGAAACCTGCCTCTGGCATTTATAGAGTCACATATCAAAGCTGAATCGCGTCTAATCGAAACATTCAGACGTAACCTGGAACATTTGTATCCTCTCTTGGATGGACGGCAATAATTTCGAGGTTACGCTAGCCCGGACTTTGTCCGTTTAACATCGACTACAATATCCCATTGTCGGTCTGTTAATGTTAACTTTGCACATTTAATGGCTCTCTAAAACCACCCCAGGAGGCTTTATTGGATTTGTAATTATTGCAAAAGTGGCCCCTATTATACAGGATTTGATGTTGATACAACTAATTTATTAGGCCACAAAAAAGCTGCTGACTCAAAAAGCGTCAGCTAACAAATGAAGCAAATAGTGCTTTTTAATTATATTTTCGGCGCTACAGAAATATTTTTAATCTACTATAGCTTGTGCAAAACTCGGTAATTTTCGAAATGTATATGTAGGTACCGAAGTTTAATTAAAATTGTAATCATCGTGGGTATGGTTTATATAGACACAATGTTCCGTTTAAATAGTTTTTGTTTTCGTGCCAACTTTAACTAAGTTATGTTAGATACCTATATGGCAACATGGTTTAGTAGTCTTGTGTCTTGTCATACTGTAGCTCCTATTGAGCTCTTAAAAACTTGCATTGGAAAAAAATTTCATGTTTATAGTTTTTGAGAAAATTGTCTTTGACTAAAATTCAAATTTGAGGCTCGAAAGTATTTGATTTATCAGCCTATCAAACAGATTTATAGAGAATTTAATGTTCTTTCTGGTACTTATTAGCAAAGTGACATTTTCGAACCTTCAAACCAGTGAGGAATGTGCAAATTATATATATATAGTTCAAAATAAAAGTATTTGTCAACGTGGTCTAAATAAATAGTATATTACATTACGAGTATAGAAAGTGACAAAATTTAACACGAGTGTCTGAAATACGCTTTCTCACAAGTGGTGTACACCATTTTTCCTACGACCAAAAACCGTTTTACAGCAATTTTTATTTCTTTTCATTTGTAACACACGTGTTGAAAGTACTTTCAACCCACGTATTCGAATCACAAATAATGTCAACAGTACTTTCCACACGTGAGATGAAACGCTGAAAGTACTTTTAGCACACGTATTGAAAGTACTTTCGGTACGCGAGTTATATTTCCGCTTTCCAAAGAACCAACTAGTGCGGATTCTGTCATTTTCGTATGTGGTCGTAGGAAAAATCCAATATATCTCGTCAGGGACCTCATATGCAACAAACTCCCACCCAGGCACAAGGTTCAACTGTGCAAAATAATCCGAGATTACCTAATTTAAATACATCTTCGTTTTCATCAGGTAAGATTGAAGCAATTATTTATAAATCTTTTCAATAATGCTTTTGTTGACAGTTCAAATTTAGACGATGTTCAAAAATTATTGTATTTAAAAAGGGTGCTTTGTCTGGAGAAGCATTGAAACTTATCAATGATTTGCCACTTACTAATGATAATTATACAAATGCGTTACAATTATTAAAAAATTGATATGAGAACAAATTATTAGTAATAAATGCTCATTTAAAGGGTATGTTGGATGTGCCAAATATTACATAGGGTAAATTTTCAGGAATTGTAGCTCCTATCAGTCCTATCAAGCTCTGAAAAACCTGTATTGGAAAATATTTTCAGGTTAATGGTTTTTGAGAAAATTTGTTTGACATTTTTTACTTAATTTTAACGAAAATTCAATTTTGAGGCTCAATTGCTCAAAAAGTATTTAAGCTATCAAACTCAGTTTAGCACAGTTTCATAAAGGATTTAATGTTCTTTCTGAGAGTGTGTAATTTATTCTTATTTGTTCAAATTTCAATGGAAATATTAGCATTTTTCAGAACTTTTTCATGGTTCAAAACTTTTTTTCTATTAAAGATATAAAGCTGAAATTTTCAACGATTCTTATTGCAGTAAAGGACTACAATCCCTGGAAATGTCAACTCATTTGGACTTATAGTTTCTGAGATGAAATCGTGTTAAGGAATTTTGGGTGATTTATCAATTTTTCAATTTTTCTGAGTGCCTCTTTTCATAGAATTCGGCTTCAAATTTGAGAATAATTTAGTGTATTGAGTTTGTGGGATTCCAAATAACCACTAGGACACAAAATCTCAACGAAAAAAAATTTGAAATTTCATCGTTTTAGTAAGAAGTTACCTACCTTATGATTTAGATTTTGGAAAACTTTGAAAGGTCATAACTTTTTTTCTATTAAAGATATAAAGCTGAAATTTTCAGCGATTTTTATTGCAGTAGAGGATTACAATCTCTGAAAATTTCAACTCATTTGGACTTATAGTTTCTGAGATAAAATCGTGTTAAGCAATTGGTTATTTATCAGTTTTTAAATTTTTCTGAGTGCCTTTTTTCATAGATTTCGGCTTCAAATCTGAGAATAATTTAGTGTATGGTGTTTTTGGGATCCCAAATAACCATTAAAACACAAAATCTCAACGAAAAATTTTTTGAAATTTCATCGTTTTAGTAAGAAGGTACCTTATGATTTAGATTTTAGAAAACTTTGAAAGGTCATAATTTTTTTTCTATCAAAGATATAAAGCTGAAATTTTCAGCGATTCCTATTGCAGTAGAGGACTACAATCCCTAAAAATTTCAAGTCATTTGGACCTATATTTCCTGAGATAAAATCGTGTTAAGCAACTTGGGGTGATTTATCAATTTTTCTGAGTGCCTTTTTTCATAGATTTCGGCTTCAAATTTGAGAATAATTTAGTGTATTGAATTTTTGGGATCCCAAATGACCATTCAGACATAAAATCTCAACGAAAAAATTTTTGAAATTTCTATATAATAATGCTTTATTGTCAAAAAAATTATAACATAATTTGTAGACTAAGCCTTAAAGTTAAAAATACATATTATATACATCTACATGTGTACAAAGTCAAAATAAAATGTCAAAATAAAATGATATAAACATAAACAAATATAACATGAACAAATACAAAAATGAACAAATTACCTATAAACTATGATCCAGTGTGTGGAACGCTCAAAATTAAGTCAGAAAAAAGTCATTTACTTTATATAAGGCTCTCTCTGATAAATAGGATTTTAGAGCTATGCGAAATTTAGGAAGAGATGCTATGGACTTGATGACTACTGGCAGTTGATTGTGCATTTTTTTTGCGTTGTATAGAATGGAGCTCTTAATTAACTCGGAGGATGGAGTTGGCAGATAAAGATCATGCTCCGCGTTTCTAAGTGGATAGTTATGCAATGACCTTTCTGAAATACTGGGTAGGTGTTTGCGGATAAGGCAGACTGATTCTAGTATGAAAAGGGAAGGAAGTGTTAATATTTTATATTTTTTGAAAAAATCCTGGCAATGAGCTCTATTTTTTAATTTTAGGGAATATATAATAGCTCTCTTTTGTAATTTAAAAATACGGTCAAATTGAGTC